GCACACATTTTAGAAATGATTCTATAAACAATACTTTATTTTCTACTTGCATATAATCTTACTTAATCCATACAATCAGACTACTTTATCAATGGGGAAACAAATCAGAAAGGGCAAATGACAAAACGCAATAGAAATGCTGGAAAATCTTATCTCAACTGAACTTGAACTGTGGTTATACAGCAAGGTGGAGGAATCCACTATGGTGGAGGGTTGTGGGAGGGGTGGGGGGAATCCCCAGTGCCTATAAAACTGTATCACATAATACAATGTTTATCATCATTAAAAAAAAAAAAAGAAATGCTGGAAAATCTTATCTGCTTGCAGTTCCAGCCATCCAAGGAGACATATTAGAATTTTATACATTTACATTAATTTTAAATGAATTCAGTTGATTAAAAATGCATTACTTTTTCTTTTAAAAACTTAAAATTAATACTTTCATCATTGTTTTTCATTGCAAAAACAGCAAATTCAAATGTATACCCTGTTAATTATCATTCATAATGCTCCTGTATTCGTGCTATTTTCTTTACTGCCTAAGTCCACTGGAGGGGGAAATATTTGGTGTATATTTCACAGGTTCACAAAACAGCATCAGTTGCAACCTGTATATTTAGGATATCTTTAGAATGAAGTATTTGCATGTAATATTACTCATACTTTCTACCTCCAGAGTAGCATTAGCATACAGATTATATATGTATGTACATGATATTTTGATAAACTTATTCATAAACTATAAGATTAACTGATAAATGCTGAAGCAGCTTTTTAGGTAATTTACTGGCTTTATATACCTCGATTACCTTGGCAATTCCAAAGTATAGCTGCACTCTGTTTATGCACATCTATCTGACCAATTTATTTTGTAATATATTACAGTTACTGCTAATTATTTTTCGGCATCGGCAGTCATCTTTCTTTATACTAAGGTAGCGTAACATAGTAAGAATCACTACTAAAAAAATGGTTACATATATACAGCTGAATATCCTTCCCATTTAACACTTGACTTCCATGAAATAAACAATGTCATATTTGCTTCATAAACACCACCTCCCTTTGACTATTTGTTTATTCAACAGGGACCAACAAAACAGTTTTCCTTCGAGATCATGTTAGACAGCATATGCATGCTTAAATTTGCTGACCCTCGCAGGACTAGGAATAGATATATAACAGCAGTAATTCTTTTAGAAAATGGCATATTTAATTTAAAAAGGTTCATTCTTCTTGCTTTCTCTAGAAAAAGGACAAACATTTCATCTATTAGCATCTTTTAACCAGTACATTAAATATCTTTTATTTCCTAGCCTCAGTGATTAAAAAAAAAAATTCAGTCTGTCTAATCAGCAATTTATTCCTTGGGGTTGTAAATGCAGGATATGAGAATTTACCATGAAGGTTTTCCAAATTTACAAGTCACTTAAAATATCAGAAGCTTAAAATGTGCACGGTTACATAAACAAAGCAAATCACTGAGAGAAGAGAATACCACGATGGATGGAGACAAAGCACTCGTAACACCACTGAGAGACCAGCGATGAACAGGACAAACGTGAGCACGTTTGGTTATAAATAAACCACATTCCCTACTGTATCCTATTCAATGCATAGCTTTGCTGATTTCTTTCCTAATTAAAATACAAACTTTCTCTATTCTTAAAAGGAGTCAAACTTCTCACTAAAAGAATTATTTGGCAAAGTTAAACCATAAGTTTTTTTTTTTTTTTAACATTGTTCATTTCAGAAGGTTTTGAAAGAAAAACCTATAAATGAAATGACTGGGAGTTCTCTGGAATGAAAGAAAAAGATTGGGCATTTTAAATGAAATACGGTTCCAGTCTGTGATTCTCTAATCTCTGTGTGCAAAACGGATACTGAAGACAAAAAGTTCATCAGCAACAAAGCCTCATTTCATCGCTTTTACTATATACATCCATCTGTTATTTGACCTTAGGATTATAAAAGACTGTTTTCATCCATTAGAAGAGTTCCTAAAATGGAAACTGTCAAGGTTGGCCAAATTGAAATCTGACCTACTTTTCTCCCAACAATTTCCATGGATTTTATGGCAGACACATTTTTCCCACAGAGGGAGCTTTCCTCCTTTAAATAAACTATGTCAGCAAATGTTTTACTTCCTAAACTATCAAAGCAAAAATCTGTAGGACACTTAAAAGATTTCTCAAATATTTATTCCCAATAGTAAACTCCTTATACTACTTTCTGTGTGCGTCTGCTTTACTGCCTGCTGTAATTACTATCATCTGAATAAATTCTGAAAAATTATTCACTTAAATCATATTAATAAAACAGAAGTCAGAGAAGACATTTGGCTGAGCAGTAAAGAGGTCAGTTGAGCTACATCTCATATCAGTGCCTGAGTGCAAAACCTAGTTCTGGCTCCTGCCTCTACCTTTGTGCTAATGGAGACCCTGGAAGGCAGTGGTGCCTGCTTGAGGCCTTCCCACCATGTGGGAGACCCAGACCGTGCTCCCAGCGTCCAGGTGCCCAGCTTCAGCTTTGGCTCAGCTCATTCACGTCTCTAGCAAGAGAACCAGCAAAGATGGGAAGTTCTGTCTCTGCTTCTCAAATATTAAATTAGATCGACTGCTTAGTCTGACAAGTATATTTGATGAAAAATTTTAAACATTTTCGCTTGGTAGAAAAAGATTCTTTGTATTTGCAAGAGTACCGGGCCTATTGTTTTTTGGTTTTTTTTTGTTGTTGTTGTTCATTACAACACAAAAACACTGAGGATTATATTCCTAATAGGGAAGGTAGCTGATGAATTAACTAAAATAGAAGCTATCAAAAAGCTTTTAAAGAGAAATTTTTTAAGTTCCTTAAAATGCCCAACTGACAAAATAGAAAAATATCTGCCAAGTAAACTCACAAGTCATTCACATGGCATCACACTTACAGACTTCTGTATCATCTTGTAACTTAAAAATAGACATTGTAGTTTTTCTATTACAATCCTGGAGAATCACTAAGGAGCTAAAACTTTAAGTTCAGATAAAAGGATAAGAAATCATGCAGATGAATGGAAAAACTATGCATAAGACAGAATAGATACTGAATACATTTTCATCACATGATTTAGAGTAATAAATCACTTTGCAAATTTATTAATTTTTTAAAGCTACAAACCTCATTTTCCTTAACTAAGGTTAAAATATATAAGAACATGGCCTGTATTCATTATGCTTAGTTACTCATTAGAATTGAAGTAAATGACAGAGTAATTATAAATATTTATTGATAATTAAAAAATTGACTTCATGCCAAAGAATATCCACTGAACTTCATAATGCATATCCCCAAAGATACTATAAATGAATGTGAACATAAACTTCATCAAAATAATAATCTTATTACCTGGACATGGCTCCAACTTGAAAGTAATTTGGAGTATACAGAAAGTAAAACAATTATACCCATTAAAAACATAGCAATATAAGGCAAATGATAACTATGTGTGTTTTTTCTATTTTGTCAATATTAAGTGAAACTCCAGAGCAAGAGTCCTCAACCAGATAATAGTCCTATGTGCAATTAATACATTATTCAAGAAAAACTATGCTGAACAATGCTTAAAGAATATTTTTGGAAGCGTTATCCAAATAATTAATACAGAAGAATAAGAATAAAATCAGTGATAATCAAAATACTCCAAATATATGCCATCAATCTTTGGCTATGTCTCAGTAAATAGCTTTTAAATATGTTTCACTAAAAATAATTATAAAATACATATTAAGAGCTCACATTACAAGCTGTAACACTGGATAAAAATTGTAAATACAAAATGTAAAATTAGCAAGTACGATAATTCTATAAAGCTAATATCCTAATATTAAAATAACTGGATTGCAGGAAGCAGATATATTTACAAAACTGAGCATTAGAAGCCATAAATTAAGATTCAGTTGCAGACAGCACTGACCTCTTATGAACTATTGGCACTCTCAGACTGAATGGGCATAGAAACATACTTCAGAAAAAAGAAGAAAAGGAATATAAATGAGGCTTGCTTTGCCAATACTGTTAAGACCATTTGTAACTGACAAACTGTTGTTTACCTAGTTTTTCCTTATATATAAATGAATTTGCTTAGGCCCTTAGTTGCTGTCTGGCTCATGTAGATTTATAATCCACTTTTGGAAGCAGTGTTTGTTATGAAAGGACCATATCTTTGTGCATATAAAAAAATACTACTCAAGTTACAAACTCAACAGAAAATCAGCATTAAAAATTGTCTGAATTACATCAATAAAATGAATTTCCTAAGAGATTTAAAGGTACATGATAAATATGTGTTCTAATTCACAAAATAACAATGTAAAGAAAACCAGGAAAAGCCTAGTTAACATGAATATACTCAAGAGTTCTCTGTAATTTGTTTATATGTAAAGATTGTAACATTTTTGCAATGTACCCATACCTGAGATCTTACTTTTGCTTTGCTTAGTAAACAGTGTATCACAGAAGATGATGAAGATGACAATGAGATAACGATACACAGGAATGGAGTCAATACAAACGCAACAGGCCACTCCAGTTCTTAGGAAGATAATGATTTTATGAACAGTTTTCGCTGAGTTGCAAATAATTAAAAATGTATGTGAAATTTAAAAAAACTGACCAGAAGCATTCTCATTCTTGGAGTGTTTGGATAAAACCCAACTGAGAAGATACATATTTACAATTTAGCTAACCTTAAAACCCCAGTTTCTTAGAAAGTGGTTTATTTCCCTCAAAAATATGACTAATGATAATACTGGAAGAGAATTCTCAATTTCTGAATTAAGAATACCGTGGCCCAAATTTCCATTGGTTCTGCCAAATAAGCAGAGCTAAAAAATATAGCAACTCATGTCAAGAGTCTTAGACTAGAAAAGTCACTCTCTGCACCCAAGTGAAATTAACCTGAAAAAAAAAAATCACAATTTGTAGCAATGCACAGCACCTGTTGGTGTGCCAACACTTACGGCTATCATAACATATGTTTCCTAGGGCTCTGCCTGTCTGAAGAAGCACTTCCTGGTCTTTGCTGTTCAGCAACTGCACCAGCGGTGAAATCAAACCGGCATCCACACATGGGATTCTCATAAATTCTGAAAATAAGAGAAACAATTAATTTAAAAAGCTAAAGAGTCACAATTTATATGTCATTTCCTTACTAAAGTACTTATCACTACAATGTTTAGGCTAGCTTACTATTTAATTCAAAAGTACACTGTTACAAACATATTAAATAAAAATACGTTAGGAACTAAGTTCACAAAAATGAGTATGGGCTGTAATTTTATTTTCATAGTCTTCTTTATAAACCAGAGGATTTTTAATATAACTTTCATCACAATCTGCAACTATCTTCTTATAATAACTAGATTGCTCTGGAAGCAATATGAGGAAACACGGGCAATGATTTTCATATGAGCTTGATAATTACACCGCCAGTCATCAAAAACTGTTTTGACTTTTTTTGTTCTATGCTAATTTAAAAACCTATCAGCAAAACATTAAATACATCCATTTCAATTGCTAAGTCCTCAGGGAATCGTCTACTCCTTATGTTAATTTATTAATTTTATAAAATAAAGTTTGTAGCTTACTTTCATCAATTGCAGTATCCATGTTTTTACAGATTTACAGAATCAATTGTTAAGCTTTTAATATTTCAAACTTTTCCCTTATTTTGTATCTCTATACATACTGATTTGTTTTGTTTTGTTTTTTTAAAGATTTATTTTATTTATTGGAAAGTCGGATATACAGAGAGGAGGAGAGACAGAGAGGAAGATCTTCCGTCCGATGATTCACCCCTCAAGTGAGCGCAACAGCTGGTGTGCACCAATCCAAAGCTGGGAACCAGGAAGTTCTTTCGGGTCTCCCATGCGGGTGCAGGGTACCAAAGCTTTGGGTCATCTTCGACTACTTTCCCAGGCCACAAGCAGGGAGCTGGATGGGAAGTGGAGCTGCTGGGATTAGAACCAGCGCCCATATGGAATCCCAGTGCATTCAATGCGAGGACTTTAGCTGCTAGGCCATTGCGCCAGGCCCTACATACTGATTTCTAATGAAATGAACACTGCCATGATCAGAAATAAACTTTTTATAGACCACATAATTTAATGATAATGAAGATAAATAATTAATGTTAGAGCTCCAATAACCAAAATTAAAACTGGCACTTTTGATATCATCACTTACCCCACGGAATATTCAGGTCAATGAAGTTAGTCAACAAAGAACTCATTCCCCATAAATACACAAACAAAACCTGTCCTACTAAAATAAAAATATTTACACATTTACAAAAATATTTATTTATTACTTTGAAAGTCAGGATAACATAGAAGGAGGGGGAATAGGGGGAAGAGGAGAAAAGGTGGAGGGGGAACATACTGAGAGTGAGAGCGTGAGAGTGAGCGCGCGAGAGCGAGAGCGAGAGAGAGAAAAGAAACCCTCCATTCTCTGACTCACTCCCCAGATGCCCAGGACTAGATGAGACAGAAGCCAGGAGCCAAATGAGAAGCGCCTCACTTTGGCAGGGGCCAAAACACAGGGACCACCTTTAGCTGTTTCTCCCAGGTCAACAGCACGGAGCCAGACAGCAGCCAGAGCAGCAAGGACACACACCAGTGCCACAGAAGACCATGGCCCAACTCGCTATGCCACAAGGCTGGCCCAAGCACAGGCTCTTTCAAAGGGTCATTTCTCCATGGAACCTCATAAGCAATCTTCCTTCTGTTTATTTTCTTCAAAATTTTAGAGCACTCAAAAAGGCTATTGTTAACTGTCACCTTTGAAAGCAACTTCTTTCTCCCCTCAGCAATAAGGGAAATTGTTCCTTTCTATCCTCTCTCTCGCATAACACAGTACTACCAAAAACTTTCAATATTTTAAACTTCCAAGATTGATAGAGTCTTTCCTACCTTTAAATCTAAACTATCACAAATAGTTTTAACTCAGCAGTATGAACTATCCTGTTATCTGTCCAGAGCAGGAATTTTGCTGTACACATCTATTAACTGAATGATCATTTGTTGATGACATATCAATCTAGTTGATGACCTCTTAATCCAATGATTAGCTTAGACTCTTCATAGGTCTTAAATTTTAAATTAATGTGTCACCAATTCAAAATTATCCTTCTCAACAGGCCCTGTGCAGTTTCCAACAGTGAGGTCATTTCATTGCAGAAGACACGGTCCATCTGCACTCTTACTTCATAAGCAGAACCTGATTTATTGTTATGTCTGTTTTGGTGTTGATATTCTTCAAGCACGACAATTTCTACTTGTTATTACTTTGGTTTGTTCTTACATTCTCACTGCTGACAATTGTCACTGTTTGAAACTTTGATTCTTTAATTGGATCATCAGACAATCTTGAAAATGATGCAGGGTAAATTACAGGAAGATTATAGAATCAAATAAAACTTTTCCAAACCACTTGTTTACTCAAAACACAACGACCAAGGTAGAATGGTGCTCAGCTTTCAGGAAATTTAAAAGAAAACACTGCTAGACTCAGGAGAGAGTAATAAGCCTAACAAGTCCTCCTCTCTCTCTCTCTCTCTCTCTCTCTCTCTCTCTCTCTCTCTCAAGATTTTATTTTTTATTGGAAAGTCACATCCTTCTCTTTTAAGATAATCCACTTTTGAAAACAAATAGCCCACTTAAGGTAATCCTGAATATACAACATTATTCTGGTGTGTCTGTGATCATACTGTGAAGCTTTAGAATGGCTGTGGAGGTTATCCTTAAGAGTTCCTGAAGCCACTCCCTCAACATTCACATGGCATAAGCTGACAACTTGGTCACAGCTGGCTGAATTCCGGCTCCAGTCCAACCTTGTACAGCAGCCTGGTTTACTAAATAGAGCAAGGGTAATGGATTTTAAATAAAAACTAATAATAATAAAATTAAAAAGGTCAGTTGATCTCCGATAGCATTAGAATAGAGAAGCAATTAGAACAGAGAAGTGGGGTGGGGTGCACAGTGACAGGTAGGCCAAAACAAAATAGAGTGGAAACCATGAGGTACTATTGTGTGTGTGTGTGTTTACACAGCAGAAAATTCATTTTGGTTTTTGCATAATAAGTGGATTTTAATGTAGAGATCCGATACTAAGGTTGTAAGCAATAAGCAATGCTCTATCCCAATGTCAACTACTTTTAATAGAAATCTGATTTCTACATAACTATATATTTTTCTCACAATTTTAGCATATTTGTTAACTGAATATTAAAAATTTCTAAACATTGTAAATATTTCTTACTTATCACTTACCTATTTGAATTATATTCCTTTTGGTATCTTTTTAATTTACAGGTTTTTGAAAATCAAAAGATAGTTTTCTTTTCGCATACACTGAGATTTACTAAAACTCCTTTTTATAATAATCTACTTAATGTAAAAGATTTATTTTTCTTTAAAAGTCAAAGGGAGAGTCAAGGCGAGAGATCTTTCATCTGCAAGATGAAAACGACAGATGAAAAAAAAAAAAAAAGGAGGGGAACCCAGCAGGATAGCCTCGCGGCTAAATCCTTGCCTTGCATCTTCCAGGATCCCGTATGGGTGCTGGTTCACGGTTTGACTGTTCTACTTCCCATCTAGCTCCCTGCTTGTGGCCTGGGAAAGCAGTAGAAGATGGCCCAAAGCCTTTGGGTCCTGCACCCATGTAGGAAATCTGGAAGACACTCTGCCTAACTCCTGCCTTCAGATCAGCTCAGCTGTGACCACTGCAACCACCTGAGGAATGAACCAGTGGACAAAAGATGTTTCTCTCTGTATATCCTTCTGTTTATCTGCCTTTCCAATAAAAATAAAATGAAGCTTAAAAAAAAAAAAGAGGGGAAAGTGTTTTTGGTTTTCACTGAGACTTGCCTCTCAAGATTTATCTTCATAAAAAAATTATATACAGGACATGTTAGAATGGATATGTGCGCCCCAATCCTAAGTTTACACTTCAGTGAGTCAGACTGAGAGGATCCAAGCATTTGTATGCAACAAGTTCTTGGGTGATTCTGATGCTGCTGATCCAATTAGGAAACTGCTGCTTTGAAGAAACAGATAACAAGTGTCTCAAGTGTGCTTGCCTTTGTGTACTTCATGTCAGTTCATTGCATTTACTGTATTCCTGTACTCAGACTACTCATGTTCCTCTACTTTTATGAAGAGAACAGAGAAAAGAAACAAAGGAAAAAAACAAATCTATAAATGGTAGCTCCTAAGTGCCTACCTGCATAAGCAGGACATTTCACCTCTTTGTCTTGGCGATAAGAATCTTTCACTATGATATATGGTAATAGCTATCATTCCAATTCAAATTATCCTTTAATCTTCCTATCAATCTTCTGAATTGTGAACATCAGCATATAGTCAGATATTTTAGTTTCTACATATTTCTGTATATATAAATTTAAATATTCCAGTACTTTGTATTTAATACAAATCTAAGACGCATGACAATTCTTTTCTCTGTAGCTACATAACACTATAGTAAAGATGAACAAATAAACTTCAAATATTTTTTTTTTGGTTCAGAGAATCTTTTTCATTGTGAAGATTCTAAGAAAAATAAGCCCAGTTAATAGAAGCTGTTGTATCGTGTTATATTTACAAAGATGTGTATTTCTTTTAAAAAGAACAATCAACAAGATTCTAGTCCTCAGCAAGTCACATAAAAAAGCAACATCCACATGCATTTAAGTTATTTTTACCAATAAATGCTAGTCAGCACCTCATTAAAGTAGGAATGTTTTAAAAAACTATATGTTTAGGGTAATGCTCTCTACTACTACTGTACTATTAGAAGAAACCTCTGGCAGGAGAATGGTCATTAAACCGTGACAAATTATGAAGAAATGATACAATTAAAAATAACAACATACAGGCAGAGCAATGCATTCACAACAATCCTGCTACCCAAATTTCTGAATTTGTGCTATAGCATATGTGCCCACTCTCACAATACTGATTCACTGACTGACTTGAAAGGTGACTACAAATGGGACAAGGAGAGAGAAAGGGAGAGGGGAGGAAGACAGCGAATGACGGCATAAGTACTTTGGTCCTTATCATTTACTTGGGGAGATGCTGAAGGAATTTCTGGCTCTCAGCTTTGGCCTGAACCATCCCTTCATATCGTGGGTATCTGGGGAATGAACCAGCCGATGGATCATCACCCTCTCCTATCATTCTGTCTTTCAAATGAACAAAATAAGGCAGAACAAAGACTCACTGGGTATAAACAATACTCAAAGAAGAAACTATTACATAATCCAAACTATGCAATCATTATTGTTTTCCTAGAGAATTCTTACACTAGAATCTAAGAAACATAAACATTCTTTCAAAATGAGTATCAAAAACAGAACATATCCCCCCAAGTGCAACAAATCAAACACAAATGCCAGAAGGATAAACAAAAGAAAAATAAATATGTGAGTGTACTTGAGTATAACTAATACCTATATTAGAAAAGGCATCTATCATGGCAATAAATTGGATTATGCAATGGCAAGAATTAGAAACTATTATAATCATATAATACAAGTATAGCTGAGGCTAGTCATTCTTTTCCTTAATTCTATTCTAAAAGAATGAAATAGCAAATGACAAATGTATGAGTAAAATGACTGTAACATTAGTCATTTAAAACAATTATATAAAAAGAGAGAAATTAAAAACATCTAATCTACAAAAGTAAAACATAAATTAATAAAACATACTGACAAGTAAGGTGTAAAACTGAAGATGTTCCCAGCAGAAAAGTTCTTGAGGAAAACCTCACCATTTTTGGCTACTTCTGCTATGATGTTAGCTACTTTGGCTGTGCAGGGTGACTGTGGAGCCAACAGATTTGCAAACAATTCAAGTATTCCACTTCCTTGTATTTTTTCACTTGTTTCCATATCTGAAAGAGATAGATACAAAGAGTCTCAGCGAAAATCTGTAACACCAACAATTTTATCTACAGTAAGTTCTTCAAGAATTTTCCCCCATCCAGAATAGACATTAGTTTCAAGAAAAATCAAATGTATATTTATATAAAATTATCTACTTTTATTTTGCAATTTAAGCTGCTCAAAACACTTCACAGTTGTTATCTATGGCCAAGTACAAAGGGATTCTTTCCAGACATATTATTATATCATACTTTTCTACACTCCTTTCCTATTCATAGGTACCACAGCACAATACCATAAACCATATGGTTACATATAACACTACAGCAATTCTGAACAGTGGAACTCATTGGTTCAGAACTATGGTTAGTGAACTGGTAATGCAAGATGCTCTTTTTCTTTCCTTCCTTTTTTTGCTAAAGCATGAACAACAAACCTCCCACTACAAAGGGATTTCGTCTCTGTTAAAATAACAAGCAATGTGAGTGCTTGGGGTAATAACACAAATAAAGAAAAACTTAAGAAAGTGAAATTACTATTTGTGAACACTGAAGAGAAATGGCATGTATGTAAATACAGAGGGTTATAAAGACCATTATTCCATTTAATTCCTACATATCTTTTACAGACCCTATGTATATCTGATTTCTGCATATCCGCCTTCAACCGAGAATCAGAAATGTTAGGAGGGGAAAATGTGTACACTGGGCACATACAACTTTTTTGAGGGGTATTATTCCCTAAATCCACAATGGCTGAGCTGACATATCATTTACATTGTAAGAAACTAACAGATGGTTTAAAGTACATGGCAAGATGTCTGTACTGTAGGTTGTACGCAAATATTCTGTCATTTATATAAGAAACACGATACCAGTAAGGGGTCCTAGAAACAATCTTGTGTAAATACCAAAGGATGGATGAAATAGAAAAGCCTGAAAAGGTCTTGCAAAGCCTGTGGCAGCTGAATAGTAAAATCACTTTAATACAATAGTTTTAGGAAGAAGTCCACAAAAGAAAATATATATTTCTTTTAAAGATTTTTTTTTTAATTTTTATTGGAAAGGCGATATACAGAGAGGAGAGACAGAGAGGAAGATCTTCCGTCCGATGATTCACTCCCCAAGTGAGCACAACGGCCGATACTATGCCGATCCGAAGCCAGGAGCCTCTTCCGGGTCTCCCACTCGGGTGCAGGGTCCCAAAGCTTTGGGCCGTCCTGGACTGCTTCCTCGGGCCACAGGCAGGGAGCTGGAAGGGAAGCAGGGCTGCCGGGATTAGAACTGGCGCCCATATGGGATTCCGGGCGTGCAAGGCGAGGACCTTAACCACTGTGCCATCGCACTGGGCCCAAAATATATATTTCTTTATGTAAGAACTGATCATTTAAAAGTATCTTTGAAACCGCGAATCCAATCTATTTTTTTTGCAAATTCTAAAATCAATTTTATAACTGAAAATGAGGAATTTTTAAAAAGAGTAATAAAATTAACAACAAATGAGAAATAGATTAGAAATTGCTCATAGTAAGATGGGCACTGCTACTGAAATTTTGCTTTGAAATAAGCATATGTATAAATAACTGTATATGAATGCATTGCTATTTGTAAAACATCTCTCCAATTACGGGTCTTGGCCAAAGAAGCTGAAAGTCACTGATGCCTGTACCCGTTGATTAGCCAGGATTAGGAGCTAAAGACCCATATCTATAGACTAAAATTTGAAGACACCATATGAAAATCTGAAACCTAAGGCCCATTAATTTAAAATGTTCCTCTTTTAACAGAAAGCAAAAATGAACTGAACTCCACTGCCATGTTTAAGTGCTTCCTTTTCTGATCAATATACCAGACGCAGAAACTCAGAACATGGGGACAAACTGCCCGGGGGTCTGGCCACGCCATCTGCTGCCGCTGGGATGACAGTAAGAGCCTGGCATATGGCATGGATCACGATTAGATGTGAAGCTGAGGCATTCATGTGGATAGGGGTGAGCAGGGTAACTACAAATCATTCACACACGTCTCATTTTAACTATTACTAAAAGAATGGCATAATATCAGAGCTGAACGTCAGGGGCAGGAGTAAAACAAAGCAATGCAAACTCTTACACAATGAGATTTTCCACAAAATGCAACTAAAGGAATTGGGAGAATGCTAAAAGAGGAGTCAAGAATCGGGAATGGTCTTGTGATAACACTATGATCTGAGAAATAGACGGGACAGGGAAAACATAACCTAGTTTTTCATACAAATTTGATTTCTGCTTTAAAAAAATCTGTAGGTTTAGAATTTTAAAACAAAGTATTGCCTTCCTCTTTCACATAAAAATAAAATCCTGTCCAACGCTCCACCTGACCTGATGGTGCAGGGGCTGTTCACTGATCACGCTGCCAGTGACAGATAAGATAAACTGGACTATGGGACCAGAGAAGCCTGAGAAAAACAGTAACACAAGCCAGGATATGATGCCACAGTGGCGGAAGCTGGAGCACAACTCACATAATTCCTCAAGGTTAATAACTGAGTAGCAGAAGGGAGAGAGTAGACAGAATGAGAAGCAAATCATCTGTGAAAACTACAGTTTGAGAAAGGCTCAAGTCCCCAACAATGCTGATAACTAATTACATTAAAATAACTGGCTTTAGAGTTTAATATTAAGAGTGAGTTTGTAGGCATGCTACTACAATCAATCAAATTAAAATGTTACACTATCATATAGTTTTCATGTAAATAACCCAATGAACTATTTCACAATTGATTTACAGCAAATTCCAAGTTAGAAAAATAAAAATGGTCACTGCCATGCCATCACTCTATTAGGTAAAAAATGTAATTAGATTATACCAATAGTGTAATTTTGGAGGCATAAAAAATAAGTTTTACTGGGAGTTATGAGCCCAATAAAAGTTACCTTGATATTACATGTCCTAGTGTTCCCTGTGGCAGCTTGTAATAGAACAGGTTTTAGTGAGGACTATGACTGCAAAGACTAGCAACATTAATCAAATGGCCATGGATACCCAGGTATCTGGGGAACCATGTACTATTTCAAGTTGCAGATTTTTTTTTTAAAGATCTATTTTTATTATTTTGTTTATTGGAAAGGCGATATACAGAGAGGAGAGACAGAGAGGAAGATCTTCCATCCGATGATTCACTCCCCAAGTGAGTGCAAAGGGCCGATACTATGCTGATCCGAAGCCAGGAGCCTCTTCCGGGTCTCCCACACGGGTGCAGGGTCCCAAAGCTTTGGGCTGTCCTCGACTGTTCTCCCGGGCCACAGGCAGGGAGCTGGATGGGAAGTGGGGCTGCAGGGATAGAACCGGCGCCCATATGGGATCCCAGGCGTACAAGGCGAGGACCTTAACCACTTGCGCCACTGCGCCGTGCCCTCAAGTTGCAGATTTCTAAAAGAGAGTTTAACAAGAATTGATTCTGGGCAGTCTGATTCAAATCTAAAGTTTCATTTTTTAACCACTCAGACAAGTTTCAAATCCTTTATTTTATCCAAGAGAAAACATTTACATTTGGAAATATCATAAATACTTGAAACTTAACATGCCCTAAATGACATTTACTCTTTCCTTTAAATGTATTCTGGCCTCTATTTCAGTGAATGGTACAGAACTTACCTAAGCCAGAAACCCTAAAATAATCACAAATGCTCCTATTTTAGATTACAGCTTTAGATAGTCACATCTAATCGTAACTCATGTCCCTGGGGCCCCAGCTCACTGGAGTCTTCTGCTTTCTAACATCCATGCTCTTTAAGTTCTCAGTGTGGAACTTTATTTATTCCATGCACAACAGCCTCCTTAAGACTCCTCCTAACTCCAGTTTCACTCCTACCCAATCTGTCATCAACCGCAACATCAGAACACATTTCTAGAAATGCAAATATTTTGTTACTCATCTACATTTTAACCCAAATGAATCATCTTATTTTATAATCTCATTGGGCACATGATTTTCCCTCCCTGAAATGCTGCTGCTCCTACCTTATCCTGGCTAATTCCTACTCAGACCTACACTGTATTCATTCAGATACCCGACTGGAAGTCATTTAATATTTTAATGATATCTAACATAAGAACTCTGTACCTTGACTTTAAATTGAGTACCTGTTAATTGAAAAGGATTTTTCAAACATTATCTCTTCACTTTAAAAAGTCATCATAGATAAGTTAGAAATCAGAAGAGATGATACACTGGTTATACTGAAAGAGGAATAAGAAACCAATCTTTTGGTTTTTAATCTTTTCCCATCAAACTGCTGTTTAGAAGACATGTGATGATGATGATAATACCTTATTGTCTGGTTGCTAAGTTATTATGCAAAGTGCATTTTTGGTCAATATGTTTTACAGGAATAAAATTTTAAAAACACAACTAGAAAAAGTATATACAGAATTTGGGGAAGAGATAAATCAAGGCAATGATTAAAACAGAAGAAGCCAACTGAATTTACAGATATGAAGCAGGGTTCAAACATACAATAGAAATATGCTGCATATCAGCAGACTAAGGTAAAAGCCCAACAAATGTGAAGTCCCTATTTCTACAAGAAAAATCGCAAGAGGGCAGAATAATAAACTGGCATTTTCCCCTCACTGATGAGGACTTTCTCCCTTCCTAAGGATCTACAACATACAGAGATCCTAGGAGAGGGCTGATGCAGACCTGAAAAAGAGTGGAACAAAACTGTGATCACAGAAACACAAAAAATTACGCTGTGAGATTAAATTTACAGAATCAAAAAACGTGAATTTGATAGCTTTAAAGTAATTACAATGTAGGCTATGGGAATGGGACCTTATGCATTTAGAAAGCATTACTAGAATAAGTGGAGGGATGTCCCAGTTCGACTATTTTCTTTAAAATTAGCAGTAACCAGCTTATAATTACTGAAGATGTAGGTCCCTATTAGAAATGTGGATGTCTCAGGCTGAGAAAATGAGGACAGTTAGAAACATTTTCAGCAAAAAAGTCCGTTTCCATTATATTA